GTAGAGAATTATAGTTTCAAAAATATTCACGAAGTTAACTGATAGAAACTAATCAGATATATTTCTATGAGTTAGTCATTATTTTATACATAAAAATACTAAAATAAATGCTTTATTTAAAAATTACAGTTTATAATTCAAATTAATATTTTATATCTCTCATTCACACTAATGTGTACTATATTTGTGAGCCAAACAATTGAAGGATATTAAAAACGTGTATGAATTAGGCTCCAAGGAGCCTATCTTTGAGGAGTCTGACTTACGGTATTAAATTTTATAATGGAAATACCATTCCCTGTGTTATAACAATGATTTGTGTGGAACTGTATTTGTAGCCGACATCTACTCCAAACGAGACATGTTATCCGTGTATCTGTTTGTCTACTCCTTGGTCTCCCTTAGCATTCAATCCATAGGCCATATAATAGGCACATGTTTCTCGAGGAACGTCACTGTAGTCGCTATATTTGTGTATCCATTTCTGGGGCTTTTTTTCACCCGTCCGGTCCCTCCCGAAGCTCTTCGAAATGGCATCTAATCTCATGATTACGTTACAAATCTTTGAGTTTTTAATGGTTTATATGGATGGCTTCGGCCGGCGCTCCGGCACACAGATATCATCAGTTTTATACAAATAGGACTTATATGACAGAGACTGTGATAAGAGTTACCGACTATTGGTCTTTCAGTTTGTTTTCTATAAGATTATCTCATATTTGCGCTTAAAATTAAAGTCAATTTACTCGCTATTCAAACGATGATTAGATAATAGTTTTTGAGTAATGAATATTTAATGTAATTTGTATTGATTTAAATTTATACTGCACTTCAAATGTTAGTTCATGTCAATTAATTTTTAAAAACTCTTAATTATCAATATTTATTGAGAGTTTCATTGAAATAAATTTAAGTTTAGATTTTATGTTGAGTTTAGTAACTAAACTTAAATTTATTTCAATGAAACTCTCAATCAATAAACGCCGGAATATTAGGGCACAGACCAGAGATAACTGTCCACCTGTTTACTGGTAACCCTCATATGCGGGTCTTTTTGAATCATACTAAACACCAATTGAATGATGGGATGGCTTTCCGGGAACTTACCGGTTGTCACGAGATAGTCGGTCACCCATTTGCGGGGATGGTAGAGGTCGCTAAACAGCATCGCGTCGGCATAGCATCTGGGGGGCCCTAAACACCGGGTGCCTATCAACGACTGGCCCACCGTTATGCCCAATGCATACACATCTGCCTGTTTGGTGTCGATGTCTATGGGCCAACCGGCCACCTGCAAGAACTGGGCCATCACCCCAATGAGCTCGGGGGCCATAAAACACTAGGTGCCGGCGACCTCCCGGCTAACCATTGGCCGACTCGAGTCGAGAGTCGCTACGAGAGTCCAAAGTCTGTCAGTTTGTAGCCATTGAGCTGATTGGGGATAACAGTATGTTATCCGACTTGATATCCATTTGACTGATCTGATTGTCGTGCAGATAGAGCAGAGCGCCGGCTATCTGTTGCAACCAATTGAGTGTCTCATCCAAGTCGAGGCACTGGTAGATTTTAA